CCCCCTCTCCCCCTTCCCCCTCCATGCTGATCTTCTCTGTATCATACCAAGCTTAACGAATGCCCAAAAGTTTAGTTTCATATTTCTGTGTCAGCTTTCTTTGTTGAAGTTTGTTTCCATACCACTCCTATCTGCATGTGCATCATACTGAAAAATAATTGAAGTCTCATTATGACTTTAATATTACAAGTCATATTTAATATATCGTATTATATTCAATAGAGTGTCACCTTGTCAGCGCACTTTGTGAAACAAAGGAAGGAGAGAGAAGACAGCATGAGGCACACTAAACGTGTTACTTTTGGCTTTCTCTGTGCATTCCCCCCCCCCTCTGAACACAAACCACATCCTTGTGAGGCATGTATAAAAGCTAATTTTCAGGCCCAGTACAGTCGGGATGAGGGTGCACTGTGTTTGGGGGAAGACTGTATAGTCTGATCTAGATGATGATGATGATGATGATGATGATGATGATGATGAAAGGTTGTGTGCGCATTGGCCGACAACAGTACCGAGTCATGGGCATGGATTGTAACATGCTCTGACTGTGCTTCAATGTCCCACAGCTGTACTTGTGCTGGCATCCCTTGTCCTGCATCGCTTCCGCAAACAAGAATGGTTGGTGTTGCGAACTGCAGAGCATCCACCTGAGGAATGACAGAATTTCGCTCTCTGTGACAAAAAAAGGACAACATTTTTCACACCAGAGCAAGCGGCACAAGAATGTCACATACATGTATGATGTAACTGTTGGGAAACAGTTTACACAACAGGTTCAAATCCTGAAGTACACAACAATGTTTAGGGCTGCAGAGTGCACACCTTCAAAAAGAAAAAACAAAATGGAGAAAAAAAAAAAGAGAGCAAAAAAGAAAAAAGTCAAGCACGCAACATGTATGACATAACAATATGAACGGAGGCGCCGTTCAGAGTACTCCATACCCAAACCCCACTTATACGGCCAAGTGTCATCTACAGTGTATGCAGGGACAACCAGACAAGGATGAAGTCGAAGACGCCCATTGGATGCCGCACCTTGGAATGGGTCCAGGAATCGAAGACCCATTACCAATTGAATAGTCCCGGATGCCAGGACCCATCATTGCATGGCCTGTAGAAGAGACTTGGCAGTATGAGTTGGGTTTGGGCCCCCATACGTGCCACAACTTGGTAATGGAGGGGGGATGGCTGGGGAGGGGAGAGGTGCTTTGGGGGGGAGGCGGGGAGGGATATAGTCGGGTAAGATGGCATGCATGGACAAGGACAGAATTGAAGACCCTTTGGGTGATACCACATTGAAACAAGTCCGGGAAGCCGGGACCCATCATTGCATCTGATACAGGAAGCCGGGACTGATCATTGCAACAGGTCCAGGAAGCCGGGACACGCCATTGGAGGGCCCGGGAACCTGGGATCCATTGCATGGGTCCCGGAAAGCCGAGACCAATTGCGCGCGGTTCCACAAAGTTGGGACAAGGATGAATCTGATGTACACACACACGCGCTGAATGGTCCACGTCAGACTTCAGCTGCTATGGGACTTTGTCTCCCCACTAAGCCCATATCAGTCAACACAGTCATTGAAAAAAAAAAAAGAGTCAACGCAGTCATTAAAACAAAAAGTCAACGCAGTCAACAGGCATTGATCCCATCTCCGTCGGTATCACAGGTGAGTTGGAAGTGAAGTCAACAGTCAACACAGTCGTAAGAAAAGTTGACGCAGTCATTAAAAAAAAAAAAAAGACTTGAAGATTCCAAAATGCGAGTCAGAACTGTCAGCTGAGAGTTCCTGAATGAGCCCTGTGCATTGGTTTATTAAACTTTATTCATTTGTTTATTTATTAAATTCAAAAAATATATTTATTTTAATTCGGACCATTTCACGATTTCTGCGTGTCATCCTTCCTTGTGCAGGGGCCATGTATAATCTTCTTTCTCTGTACCATTCCAATTTTAACGGATGTCGCACAGGACACGCATTGGTTTATTTTGCATTCACAACTGGACATAATTTACGCTTCTATTTACATGTCACTGCCAGCATTGACTTGTCCAGGAACACACTCCACACAGCAAGACAGTGTTATTGCGAGGAAGACGCAAACACAGCAGCTTAGGTCAACCTACGATTGCTTACCGCCGTTTACCGGTAATGTTGCTAGTGCAAGGAAAATGAGCAATAGCGGATGACAATAAGCAGATTGCACAATCACATTGAAGGCCAGATAGTATCACAGTGTCCAGAAAGCAGAAATGCACCAATATAACACCAATGAAGATTCGTAACACTGAAACCAATGTCAATGAGAGCTTGGTCTCGCCACCACCAACATGAGTGTCCAGCCCCTATCTCCCTACTTGGCGCTCGGCGCCCAGCCTACTTCCTACMCAGCTACTCTCTGCCTACTAATTGACAATGCAASTGTTGACGTCAGCAGCCTCCGTAGTACTTGAAGATGTCGCCCATGCAGACCATCGCCAATACCAGGTCAGTGCCCTCACATCATCATCATCATCATCATCATCATCATCCTTCTCTCTCTCTCCCTCGTCTTACTCCCACGTCTTCCCTTTGTACACCCGAAGGCCACCCCTGCGCCTCACTGTAGTCCAACCCCAACCAGCTATGGAGGCTGGGCTATGGCGCTGCCCTCAGCAGCGCCCTGCTCCCTGCACGACCGCACGCGTTAGCACCTCGCTTCTCAGCGCCAGCAGCAGCCCACGAGTGTCCGCTCCGGTAGCGCTGCCGCTAGCATGCGAGTGCCTGAATGAGCTCCAGGAGGCGAGCTCTTTCCTATATGGAAAGAGTCTGCCTGCTTCGCAGCCTGGCTGGCCTGGGCCTGGAAGCTTCCGGTAGGGCCCAGGGTGCCGGGCCTCTGGTGCAGCTACTGGGCCTCATTCGGTTGGGCCTCCTAACTGTCTGTGTATGAGGCTGCAATTCTCGTCCAGGGCCTGCACTTTTCTGGAAGGCACGGAAGGCCGTGGAATGTCTCGCTGCTCGGCCTGTGTTTCCCTCAACCAACTGGCGCGACGAAACTGCCTGGACCCCCGAATACAGATTTGACAGCTTAGGGCCTCTCGTGATTTGTTAGGCCCGCCTTCACTTAGGGCGGACACATATGCAACAGGGGGCCCTTAGGCCTGCTGAGGTCCCAGATCCTCGCATTCCCTCCTCCTGCACTTCGATAGTCCCCTGAGAAGTCTCCTAATCTGCAGGCATCTTCCCTTTGAGATGTCTTTCGTAACCTGCAATGACTTGAGGTGCAGTTCTCATGAGTTCTTCTCTGGTGAACTACCGATCTTCGCTGGGATCCAGATCATGTCTGAATCCGACCCGGTATTGCATTTTCGGCTTAGGAGGGCGGCCTCTGCCCGATGGTCGAGGTACTGGCATCACCCGATGTTCCACGATCTGGTCGATGTCCACTTCTCCATCCATGGTTGGGGGCAGCATAGACCGTCTGGAAGGGAACTGTGCAGACTCTGAAAAAGGTGCCAGCTTTGAGGCATGGAAAACAGGGTGTGTACGTAAGTGTGGGGGTACGCGAATCACGTAGAAAGGCCCATCCTCTCGATCGCCCACTATGTCTAGGACCTCCCATGGACCGAAGTACTGTGGCATTAGTTTCCTGGAGATACCTACTTCCTGTCCCAGTTCAAATGACTTGACCCAGACTCTGTCACCTACCTGAAAGTTAGCAGGCCGTCTGTGCTTGTTCTCGGATGCAATCATGGCATCCTGAGACTTTCTAATATTTTCTACGGCCTGCTGCAGCATCTGTTCATATTCGACAGCGAACTCTATGCTGCCAGGTGCTGCAGTTGCCTGGTTTTCGAGCAGTAGGTAGTCAAGGGCGGATCTGGGTTTCCAACCAAGATGCAGTTGGTTGGGAGTCCTGCCAGTAGTGCTGTGTACAGCGTTGTTGTACAGGCTGGCGACCAGTGGTAGCTTCTCGTCCCAGTCGTCCTGACTTGGCTTGATGTAATGCCGAAGCATGTGCTGCACTACTCGGTTCATCTGCTCCGCCTGACTATTTGACTCAGGGTGGTTCCCTGATGTCATTTGCAGTCTGGTTCCCATCTGCTGGGCTGTGTTCTGCCCTGTCTCTTATACACATCTAGATGTGTATAAGAGACAGACTCGGTTCATCTGCTCCGCCTGACTATTTGACTCAGGGTGGTTCCCTGATGTCATTTGCAGTCTGGTTCCCATCTGCTGGGTTGTGCTTTGCCACAGTTCACTTGTAAAACGTACATCCCGGTCACTGGCGATAGATTTAGGTAAACCGAAGTCCCGTTCCCACTTATCCATAAATAGTCCGATGATGTAGTCAGTTTTAGCAGTCTTAGGCATAGCGATAAATCTAGCATACTTGGAAAAACGGTCTACTATAACGAAGATGTATCTTTTCCCAGACCTGCTAGTCACAAGGGTATCCATGAAGTCCATGGATACACTTTGACCAGGACCTTCAGGAATCGGCAAGGGCTTAATGAGCCCCAGCGGAGCCTGCGTCCTAGGTTTGCCACGTTGACAGACCTGGCAGGTTCCAACATACTTTTTTGCATCTTCCATCATAGACGGCCACCATAATTTTTGTACTAGGTTTGCTGAAGTTTTCCTATGCCCGAAATGTCCAGTTGCATCATGGCACTCACCTAAAATAAACTATGCAAAGACTCTCTAGTTGGAACACACAGTCTTTTATTCCCTGCCTTATCAAGAAACAACAATCCATTGACCAGCACAAACTCATCGGAGGTAGCTTTATCCTTGGCCTCCAGTTTGCGAATGATCTCAGACAAAACTGGATCTTCTTGATAGGCTTCCACCAGTGATTGAGTGAGTTCGTCAGCTGTGCCAAACTCAGTGACTAGCGTGCCCAGATAATCTGCGCTACGCGATAGCGCATCAACCACTTTGTTGTACTCTCCCTTGATTGGACCAAGTTGATAGTCATACACGTCTATCACTTGAATCTATCGTTTCAACGCGTCTGAGAGCACCGGCTGTGTCTTGATCCAGCGCAACGTCTCATGGTCAGACCTCACATAAAAGAATCTGCCGAGGAGATAATGTCTCCAGTGGACTAGCGCTCTATAGAGGGCATAGAGCTCACACTCGTACGTGGACCGTGCTAATTTCTGAGATGGCATCTTTTTGCTCATGTACTCGATTGGCCTCAACTTTCCCCCCTCCTTCTGCGCAAGGATCGCTCCTATACCATATTGGCTGGCGTCTGTGGTCACTACAAATGGCCGCTCAGGATCCGGAAGTTTGAGGGCTTCATACTGTGTTAAAGCATACCTCAATTTCTTGAAGGCTGCCTCACACTCTTCTGTCCACTCCCAAGGGTTGTCAAGGGGAGTTAGGTCAGTTAGTGGGGGAGCTATAGTACTATATTTCTTCACAAACGCGCGGTAGTAGCCTGTCATCAAGTGTTGCACAAGCCGACCGTCGGCGACCCTTAACTGGTTGGCTGCCAACCCGCCGACCGGTCGGGGGTTGTCGGGGGTTGTTGGCACCCCGCAAAAAAAATAAAAAATTGTCGAGGGTTGTCGGCACCCCGCAAAAAAAA